AAAAGTATAATAATAATAATATATATATATATATATATATATATATATATATATACACACACACTGACACAACAACCTGCATCCAACACCACTTTACACATACTTCTCCACTATAGCTGTATGTAGGCTGTAAATCTTCTACCTGCTATTATCTGAAACTATTTATCTTGTATTATAAACCCAACAAATAAAATTAAAAAAATAATAAAAAAGTATAATAATAATAATATATATATATATATGGGTTTATATATGGGTTTTTTCAAATCTTTATCAGTACATGAGAACATTCTTGCGCAACCCTGTTAGGTCGAGTTTTGACCTGTGAGAGACGCTGTAGCCGACGCACTACTATTACTGCATTATCCCTCCGCGGAGAAATGTAGTCTGAACATTTTTTTTGTATATTATCCCTTCATAAAACATTCCATTTCACATAACATTCTTATAAAAACACTCTTTGTACTATATCCCACAACTCAATGGCTTTAAACTATGTTTTTCAATAAAACTGAACATAAAAAGAAATGTAAGGCGAAATAGTCCAGCCCCTTAAATGCAGTTGGCGTCGCCATCAGCGATCTTTTCAGTCGCATGCTGAAGTTGTGAACGGATCATGTCTAGCGATTCTGCTGATTACAACAGGTAATAATCCATGTTTGGTCAGTTTTATGAAACGATGCCGGTTATTTAATCGTAATTTAATCATCGGAGCTGCCTAGTAACCCCTATGGCAGCGCGGTAGTTTGTATTCAGTTAGTCCGGCCTAACTGCTTTTGGTGTGATTTGCCTGTTAGCTTAGCAGTTAGCCGCATCGAAACCCCACTACTACCAATAATGGTTATAATTCATCATTGGATTGATAATTATGGTGCAGAACAACCTTAAAATGTATTTTATATTTATAGTAAAGTTTCCTCCGGTTGAAGTTGCGGGTGTTTGTCAGGGGAACCGTTGGGCCAGTGTGTTCCTCTCGGCCTAGTTCTGGGCAGAAGCCACCACTGGCTGTAAAGGCCCCAATTACCCGACATGTTGGCCACCAGGGAGAGAACTCATGTTGGAGTAAGCCGAACACGCCCAAAATGGATTTAGTAACTTTTTTTTTTATTCCCTGGGCTTATCGTGAACGGCTCGGAAGCCTTCGGAGGTTATGTAATCGCAAAAAAAGCTTCAGAGGGGCAGGTAGTTGAGGCCGGCTCGTGGAATTTGACACGTGCGCCCACTGAGGCTTCGAGCTTTTGTAAGGAGATACTCTGGGCGTGACCCACAGCACCCCGGGCCACATTCACTACACGTGTGGTGGGGGATTTTTACATGGTATGGGGGGGAGTCCCCCTTCCTCTATGAGCCATGCAGGGGTTAAAATGTTCCTCAGAAACGGAAGCATCAGCAGTTCTCACTCCACGTCTGTAGATCAACTTGCAAGTAGTAGAAACCAGTATCGACTTTAAGACTCTGTTTTAATGTATTCATATAAGTTTAAGCCTGATGTAGTATATTATAGTCATGTTTTAGAACATGCATTAAATGTTTCTCAATAAAATGAAAGGTTTCTCAAACATTTTGGTTTAAACTTGCAGGGATTTATTTAGGTTGTGAACTTAAAAGCTCTATTTTACACTGATCAAATGAGGATAATGCGTGTCTAAATTAAATCCTTTGATTTAGGGGTGCTTTGAAGAGATTGATCACCTGGACAATTGACTGATACTTTTAAATTTTTGAAGATTGTAATGTTACAAAGTCGGCTAGATAAGCAGTTATTAGTACACATCTAATAGTATTTATTGCTGGTATCTGTGCTCTCCCATGTAAGTTTGGGTGGGACGTCATGCCTTCATGTTCTGGTAAAAATAAGGCTGCAACTATTGGTAATTTTTAACATTTTTATTTATTTTTTCATTGATAATTTTTCATTTTTTTTGAAAAAAATAAAATGAAAGTTGTGCAGGTCTCTATGAAAACAATTGAAATCTGTACCATCTGAGAAACTCCTGATCAGCCTGTTTCTATTAAGAGTACGCCAACATTTGCTATTTGGAGCATACTTTTTTTAACCAATTTAGTTGTAGATTTTCATTTAGTTGTAGATCAAAATAGCCAAAACTTGGGGTCATGAGATGTGACGGGATATTAATGGAAGATAGAATAAAGTTTTACACGTGATTTAACTTCCTACCCAGGGAATGCAGTGAGTTTTAATCTGATTTTTTTTTTTTTTTTCTCAACAGTTCAAGAGATAGAGACCATGGGGGGCCAGAAGGAATGGAGCCTGATGGTGTCATCGAGGTAAATCAAAGAAAACGTTTTTTTTCTTTGATTGGTTTCATCTAAAGGCAATAAAAGTAGGGATGCACGATATTGGCCGATAACCGATATCG